ACCCGCCCTTAGCTGACATAGATCTTGTCATGCCCCATGCTCATGACGCGAATGCTGGTTGGCGAGAAATGAACGTGTCACGAGCAAGCTATTGACAAGATTTATTTCATGTTCATGTCGAATTGTGTGATGTAAACACGGAAACGTAATTTGTAAATGTGCAATGGACAATTGCTTCTGAGTCCGTAAAGCTTTTTTACTTCCACGTTGCTGAACGTTTGTGTGTTTTCATTCATCGATTTCTTGACCAATTTCTTTGATTTGTCAAATGGAAACATTTAATGTAAGACTTTTATAAAACTCGGCCATAACCTTGTCTCCTAAGATTTAGAAACATGTCTTTTGGTTGAAGCAGCTAGCTCTGAAATAAGATGTATTTGCATTGTCAACCAAATAATGTGTTTGTGTCGTTGTAAATCAATATCTTAATGGTACTGGAAAAGCTTCATCAAAATGACTATGACAGTGAAATTGAAGCTGGCTCCCAAGCTCATTTTGAGTAACTGAATTACGGCAATAGTTTAACCCTCTTGCGGCCTGGCGTTTCTAATTGGCGTCTCGTTAGCGGGATGCATTTGGTCAATTGGCACGTGAAATAGCACGTGCTGTGGTATCTATTGCAAACTAAATTATTGCCTAAACATGTGGCCTTAACAGGGGCATTTCCCAACACATGTGTCAAGGATCTTGGGACACACTTTGGGGGCCATTCTATCGTTGGCTCTCGGCATACAGAGCACCAATAAAACGTGCTTAATGAACGTGATCACAATGCAAGGCTTCGGCGTTACAAAGTTTTAGTTTAACACGAGGGGGTCTATGATACTTAATTATTTTTATAAAATGCAAATCTATTCAAATAGCTAATAAATGAGCTTCCTATATACAATGTGGATCAGGTCATAATAAGGAAGGTCTGAGCGAAGATTTCTTATGTTTGGAAAGGGTTGTGTCACTTTTATTTGCATTACAAGGTGGCAGATATTTGGGGGATCTGAGGACGATTGTGTATCCAGTGATCACAGTAGTTTATTGGGATGTTCTCCTATTCTCATCCTTTTCAACACACTATGGAACGATGGTGTAGCTTAGTGGTTAAAGCGTTGGCTCATGACGTAGACGACCCAGGTTCGATTTCCCACATGGGTACTATGTGTCAAGCCAGTTTCTGGTGTCTCCCGCCATGATATTGCTGGAATATTGCTGAAAGCTGTTAAAACCATGCTCACTCACTCCAACACTCGTCAAATACACCACCATGATCACGTTAAAACTGCCGGGTTAAAGATGTCGTCGAACACATACAGGTTATTGTACCGCCGTTCAACATTGTCTCTTTATTTAAATTCTTTGTACAAAATATATGTTCTTTCATTTCTGACACACATCTATAATCCCATTAGCTCTTTCTAATGTGAGGCTGTGAGCCTAATGGATAAAGCGTTCGCTAGTCACGCCGAACGATTCCCCACATGGGTACAATGTGTGAAGCCCGTTTCTGGTGTCCCTCGCCATGGTATTGCTGGGATATTGCTAAAAGCGGCGTAAAAGTCACTCTTTCTAATGTTTTACCTCGTCTCGAACACACACACGTACCCACATCCGCCTCTGACACAAAGTCTCTATCACATCGCCAAGCTCACATTCCAGAGAGTATTGGTTATGAAGAAACCACACACCTGTGATTGATTGCACCAATCCTATAACTTGCTAATGTCATCTAACGGTCCTGTTTTGGAACTAAGAATTATGTTGTCATTACAAATATTGTTACATCGCAGAAATCGATGTTTTGTATGTGATGTATGTCAAGCAAACACGCAATATCGGATATTACTTTCAGAACCAATGCTTGAAAAGACCTAACACAATTACTCAAGTTCACTGTTTCGGAACGATAAATCTGAGAAAATGTTCTTTTACAATTTTCCTTTAAATGCTTTTTTCCACTCGGGGCTTAAATTTTGAAAAATTACGTTGAAGGTGTAATTTGTCATGTTGATAGGGGAGAAAATTATGTACCGATTAGTTTGATAAGCCTGTTTTAAAGAACACTCATCCTTTCAAAGAGTATTTTCTGCGCTTGGAATGTTAATAAATCCTCGAATTAATCCTTCACGAATTATACCCTCAAAAAGGGTGCATTTATGCATCGAGGAAAGAAACACGTTTTGTTAGAAATGCAAGATTGATAGGGCTTTTAATAAATCTGACAATATATTTCATTTTTTAGCTCACCTTTTCTGCCTTTTCAGTGGAAACCTTTAATGATATTGTCACAAATCAGACCTTATTTTCAGCATGAACAAATGATTGTCCTCACAGAGCTAAGAGAGCTATGGATCAAAGACATATTCTTATGGAACAATTTTTTTCATCAACAGTCATATTTAATCTTATCTTTGATGACGAATCCCGGATATCTAGCTGTGAGGTCTAATACCAGGAACCAACGTCCTCAGACCAGAAAAGGCATTTCCATTTGTCATGTGAGCTACGTTTTGCAATGACTGACTAGCACTCCCGCAAATTACCCTCACGTCCGCCAGAAATAAATTACCGGTTCCAAAACGCCGTATGCCATGTTTGAGTTTTGAATTACATCATGTTGGATGTTATAGCTGAGGCCCGTTCGCTTTCGAGGTTCTGTGCGACGAACAAGTGTATTTTGTTCCCTTACAAAGCTCCCGAGAAGCGGAAATGTTCATCAGCGGGTATTATTTCAATCAAACGTGAAGTAGCTTGGCCTTTTTAGCTAAAATTCGACCAGCGCGGTCCCTAATGAAATAATTGATGTTACCCCCTAGTGTCAGCTGCAGTTTATCGATTTATACAGCCTGTCAGGGAACTCCTTCGGCCGCAAACAGCTATTGCCTTTGAGGGATAGCCAACGTTTCACATGATTAACTCTTCAAGATTAATTTGGTTTTTGGTCAGCCTAATTTGGCCGTAGTTACACAAAGCCGAGCTGCGAGGGCATTGTTTAATAAATTTCAAGGGCCATGATGTTTCCCTAATATAATTGTCAGAGAAACCATTCTCTTTTCAAGCCTTTGAAATGAAGTGTGTACACCAGGGATGTCTGCTACTCCCTATTTTGTTGTTTGATATTAAGCCCCCGTCACATTTAGCACTCTTTGTTGCTAATTGGATGTCGGTTCTGCTCTGTACGCCACAGTGTCGTGAAATTCTAACCTGGACTTAACATGAATCCATTAATTCAACAAATGGGCATAACTCCGGTTATTAAATGCATGTAGCTTTGGATGGGTTAACAAATATAAGGTTAGCAACCACTTGTGAAAATTAGACGTGACGTCTCACTCGTTTCTAACGCACCACATCAAGCCCATTTCGTCTTCCATTTTTTTTGGTCCCGGTTCCAATACAACCACGTTCGAAATCCATCCACCTAATTCCCTCAAAGTAACAAGGCCTTGTAAGTTAAAGAATATTTAAAACATAGTTGAAAGAAAGCACGCAAATAATACGTAATTGTCAAGATTTGTGAGTCGGTTAAAAGTTAACATCTTAATTATCAGCTGTATTTCATCAATACAGAGGCAGAACCATGTGAACATACTTGGTAAAGCAATAGTAGACTTCAAGAATTAATTACAAGGCCAGTATCTTCTGTCCCTTCCATCTAGTTTCTTTCGTATGTTGGTCTTAAAAGGACACAAAAGATTCACATTCCTACAAACTGGTGATTGCTTGCTTGTATGAACCATGGAAGAACACAGAGCGACAAATGTCAAATGTCATAGGGAATGAGTCGTCTTGCAATGAAACTGCTTCACACGGGATAGTCTTTGATTGAGTAGGCGCATTATTGTTCGCCCGCAGTACGAGACGCTATCATTTCAAAATTAAGACGTCTTGCTACAAAGCAAGAATATTCAAACGGTGAGCTACCACTAATCCTTACTGTGCCGTCGTTGATGACGACGGTGTTACATATAGTACTGTTTTTCTACAACCCTTCAAGCGGATGACTTTGGTTCCGTTCGGGTTAAAAAGGGGAGTGCTTTTTGTGTAAAGCTGTAGAAGATTGTTAATCGAGTTGTTTGATCAAGGTTACAACATTCTTTGCCTCAGAAAAGCTTTCGAAAGTTTTTATGATCGGCGTGAAGGTCATTTTCAGATTTGACGCATTTGTGACAAAATGATGTACGATGCAATTCCCTATTTTGACTTGCATCGTGTGTTTCCGTGTTCTTTCAGCGAACAATTTATGTGCCTTTGCATGTGTTTGCGATTTCTACCCGGAACACTGAGAATCGTCATGATTCATAACCACATACTCTTGGGTACTCTTGGCGGTTGGGTAGCTTTGTTGTTAAAGCGTCACGCCGAAGACCCGGATTCGATTCCCCACATGGGTACAATGTGTGAAGCCCATTTCTGTTGATATTCCTGGAATATTGATGAAAGCGGCGTAAAACCCACTCACTCACTTGATATTGTCGGAATCGTACAATGGACTCGGCTTTGGAGGAGAGTGTTTTGTGAAAATGGAAAAGGTTTTTCTCGCTGTATTTCTATTGATTGACAATGTTGCTGACATGTGGTATGTGTATTTCTATTGATTGACAATGTTGCTGACCACGTGGTATGTGTATTTCTATTGATTGACACTGTTGCTGACCACGTGGTATGTGTATTTCTATTGATTGACACTGTTGCTGACCACGTGGTATGTGTATTTCTATTGATTGACACTGTTGCTGACCACGTGGTATGTGTATTTGTATTGATTGATTGCTGACCACGTGGTATGTGTATTTCTATTGATTGACACTGTTGCTGACCACGTGGTATGTGTATTTCTATTGATTGACACTGTTGCTGACCACGTGGTATGTGTATTTCTATTGATTGACACTGTTGCTGACCACGTGGTATGTGTATTTCTATTGATTGACACTGTTGCTGACCACGTGGTATGTGTATTTCTATTGATTGACACTGTTGCTGACCATGTGGTATGTGTATTTCAGTGCTGGAGTAGGCCGGACAGGCACCTATATCGCTATTGACACGCAGCTGGAGAAGGCTAAATCAGAAGGCATTATCGACGTACATAACTTCGTCAAGTTGATGAGGGCACAGAGAGTCAATATGGTCCAAACTCTGGTAAGTTGTCGGTTTATTTTCAGATATTAATTTAGCTCACCTGAATCGAATGGCACGGACTTTTGCATCCCTGATGAAACCACAGTGTTTGTTTGGTGTGTAACGCCGCACTCAGCAATATTCCAGCTATATCGCGGCGGTCTGTACATAATCGAGTCTGGACCAGACAATCCAGTGAGCAACATCATGATCACCGATCTACGCAATTGGGCTGCGATGACATGTGTCAACCAAGGCAGCGAGCCTGACCACCCGATCCCGTTAGTCCCCTTTTCGACAAACATGGGTAACTAAAGATCAATTCTAACCTGAATCTTCACGGGTTCGAAACAACATGACCTATGATGCAGAAACGTTGCATGGATGATCCAAGCAACGATATGTTAAACCCTGTCTGATCCGATTTTAAACATGGCAGCCTTATTGAATTTGTACTTTTTGTTGTTTTCACTCAATCGTTTTTGCGTGTTTTACAATAAAACTTGATATTCGGTAACCATGTGGTATGCTGGACATGAGCTGATTGTTTGAATGTTCAAGATGTTCCGGTAGTATGCAGGTGAGCTTCAGAACTAGTTTCATTACAAAACGACCGGTGTGATTGTTCTCGGTGGGTGGTTGAAAGGGAATAGCCGCGATCGAGCTGAAATTCGTTTGTTTATTCCCGCTGCAATGTTACGTAAGCGATGGGAAAATCTCAGTCACACAGATACCTAGTGTTTATAATAGATTAACATAAGTCCTCCATTGTTTTTGTTCAATTTGGAGGTAGTGTTTTAAGGTAATATGATCGCATATGCTGAATTGCTTTCTTTGAGTACAAGGGGATCTCACGCTTTGTGAGGCTGATCAAACACATTGTGGATAAACTGAGTTGGGAATATAGAGAAAAATAATAATAAAAATAACACTTTGTGGGCGTTTACATCGACTACTTCTGCAACGTGTATTATATCAACGTGGTGTTGTTGTAGCAAAGAAAACACCCTGTATAATGCACAGGCTGCCTCACCACGCCTGGATCACAAGAGCAAGGTTTATTGCTGTTTGTACCGTATGTCAGTTTCCATCGCAGTGAGTTAAGGGAAGAGTGACCATAGGGAAAAGTGTTGTCCCACGCCAACATGGTTTCTACGTGGGCACAGTGGATAATTATTGTGCTATGAATCATCACCATCGGGTTCTTATCATTGCAATGTGTTTGCTGTTGTACGATTAGCTGAACATTATGATACAGAGGGAGCGTAAAGATGCGGACATGCGAAATGAAGATAGTGATGAGGAGGGAAAGGTTTGAGAGAAGAGGAGGGGTGGTTGAGGGAGGGTTTGGGGAGAGGGTTGAGTTTGTTCCTTGTTTAACGCCGCCTTGAGCAATATTTCAACTATGTGACCGCGGTCTTGAAATAATCGCGTCGCTACTAGACAATCCAGTGATTGACATTACGAGCATCGTTCTACGCAATTGGGATACCATGACATTTGTCAACCAACCAAGTCAGCTGGCCTGACCACCCTATCCCGTTAGTCGCCTTTTACGCCAAACACTGGTTGCTGAAGACAAAATCTAACCCACATCTTCATGGATGCATGAGGGTTGATAACACAAGCGGAGAAGAGGAGGGAGAATGTTCAGACAAGGGTCGGGAGACGATTTGGAGAAGAGAGGGGAGAGGCGTGTGGGATGAGGAAGAATTGGATTGGAGGGAGAGTGAGTGAGTTAATATTTAACGTCACTTCGGCAATATTTCAGCCATATCGTGACGAGATTGGAGGGTGAGTGAGTGAGTTTAGTTTTACGCCGCACTCAGCAATATTCCAGCTGTATGGCGGTGGTATGTAAATAATCAAGTCTGGACCAGACAATCCAGTGATCAACAGCATGAGCATCGATCTGCGCAATTGGGAACCGATGACATGTGTCAACCAAGTCAGCGAGTCTGACCACCCAATCCCGTTAGTCGCCTCTTACAACAAGCATAGTCGCCTTTTGTGACAAGCATGGGTTGCTGAAGACCTATTCTACCCCGGATCTTCACGGGTCCGAGATTGGAGGGAGAAGAGGAGGGTGGACAGGGCTTGGAGAAGGAGTACTTTACATACATTTGTTTTTTCTGAAAGGAGGAGTCGGCCATCTTGGAGGTAACCACAACAAACTACAGAGACAAACAATATGGTAATGCTGTAGAGACATGCACGCTAGAAATGTTTTCGAGATAGAGGACGAAACAAAGATGACGTACGGCATTAGGAAAAGGAAATGATGAAGGATGCAAAATTTGAAGCGAGAGGCAAAATACGACAGAATTATACAAAAGGAATGTGGAAAAAGACACGTCAGACTTGACCTTCCTACCCTTCCTGATATTACAAGAATAAAATAAACATTTACTCGTCGCGCAATGTTTTCTTATACCAATATTTCTGATAGCTGTCGTGATTTAGACCCTCTTATTAGATTTGTAGTGGTGTATCAAATTTCCACTCAATGACCATCAATCGGTTTAACTATGTTTACGGTTATACAATCTTTACGTTAACGCCATTCTGTTCAGCTCCGTTCGATTGACGTTTAGTCCTGGACCCAATTTCTCTCTCGGCATATCATGATAAAGAATATGTTGTTAGGAAGCCAGTGACAGGTTGTATGGTTATATCAATGTAACATGCGGTATAAAGTAGCTTAATAACGTAAAAACGGTACAATAAAACACGCGCTGGAGAGGCGTACGGCTTCGCGTCGCTCTTGTTTATGTTGTTGCTAGGTTACGATGTTTTTGAAGTTATGCGACTTGACGATGAATGATATGTTTTATGACGGAACCTGATACACTGTGTTTTTAAGAATGTCGTGAAACCACTTCAGTGCCGCGATACTGAATTACAAATTGTTGTTGGTTTCAAGAATGTCAGTTCTTTCGTAACCAGTTATCTGTAATAACCAAACCCTGCTTGAGAGCCATGCCCCTCATTACAGATACTGCATATATATTGCAACTTAAACAGTTTCAGGATAACGTGAAATCAGCGCATCATAAATACAGGACGTGAAATCAGCGTATCATAAATACAGGACGTGAAATCAGCGTATCATAAATACAGGACGTGAAATCAGCGTATCATAAATACAGGACGTAAATACAAACGTGAAATCAGCGTATCATAAATACAGGACGTGAAATCAGCGTATCATAAATACAGGACGTGAAATCAGCGTATCATAAATACAGGACGTGAAATCAGCGTATCATAAATACAGGACGTGAAATCAGCGTATCATAAATACAGGACGTGAAATCAGCGTATCATAAATACAGGACGTGAAATCAGCGTATCATAAATACAGGACGTGAAATCAGCGTATCATAAATACAGGACGTGAAATCAGCGTATCATAAATACAGGACGTGAAATCAGCGTATCATAAATACAGGACGTGAAATCAGCGTATCATAAATACAGGACGTGAAATCAGCGTATCATAAATACAGGACGTGAAATCAACGTATCATAAATACAGGATGAAACAACTCTGAAAGTGTGTATATGTGTCTCTGTGGTTAATATCAGTCAACATATCAGTTACTGTCATATCAATTTGAATATCAGTTTTATGTCAGTCCAAGTATCAGTAAAGTCAATTTGTATTCTATCAATGTAATAGCGTGAATATCAGTCTAATGCTCGTTCTATGTCAGCTTGTTCTATGGTCAGTGACCATTCCAATATGAATCCAGCAGTTCAATATCAGTAAGGGGCGGTGGGGTAGCCTTGTGGTTAAAGCGTTTGCTCGTCACGCCGAACGCCCGGGGTCGATTCCCGACATGGATGCAATCAGTTAAGCCCTTTTCTGGTGTCCTCCACCGTGATATTGCCCATGTGGGGAATCGAACCCGGATCTTCGACGTGACGTGTGAACGCTTTAACCACTAGGCCACCCCACCGCCCCTGGGTTATAGTAGTTATTCATGGTCGGGAATATTGGTCTTAATATCAGTCACTGGTTTGTCTGGTTTAGTCTCGATTGTTCACAACCTGCTCTTGCTGGACTGTTGCTAAATTCGACGCTGAAAAGGATGTTGTAAAGGAATTGGAAAATTCTTTTAAGTTGTCTCGAATGTAACCTGTTGAAATAACTTGCAAATTGTTGAACGTAAAGGTTTCATAAAACATTGTGTCAGTTTAAAACAGAGCAAATATTCCATTCCCCGATGCCTACTCTAAACTCAGCAACATGGACGTTTTTACTTTCACCACGCTCCTAAATTCTTTCATTATGCATTTCTTGCACTCTAAAAATCTCACCCCTGAAATCAAAGCACCAGTGAAGCTGAGACCTCATGTTTCCAATAATGGTGACGCCAAATTTGTTCAAGAGGCGAGAATTTGATGTTTCAACATGGCCGCTAGGACAGCCATGTTAATAAGAGTGAGTGCGTTTTGGTTTACGCCGCACTCTGCAATATTCCAGCTATATGGCGGCGGTTTGTAAATAATCGAGTCTGGACCAGACAATCCAGTGATCAACGTCATGAGCATCGATCTACGCAATTGGGATATGATGACATGTATCAGCCAAGTCAGCGAGCCTGACCACCCGATCCCGTTAGCCGCCTCTTACGACAAGCGTTGGTTACTGAAGTTCAATTGTAACCCTGATCTTCACGGGAATGTCAATAAGATCTATATATGACCATTACACGACCGTGTCTCTGCAATCTGTAATGGTATTAGTTATGTCTTTTGTTCGTTAAGATATTTAACACATTTGTTCCATTTCTGACCAAAACAACAAGTAATTCTCACCTCGTTTGATTATGCTGTCAAGTATCACAAAATGCATATTTGGCGCTCTGAACCGATACTCCGAAACTGATGGAGATGGTCCTGGCATGTGTCCCACTGAAAACAAGTTGCGGACCATGATTCTGTCATAATACTGTACTTAATCTGTCACTGAAGTCATTCCTTGTCAGAATAACTATAGTTTCATGGAAGAATTGGGGTATTCTTGGCAATTTTAGAAGTATAATTTTCCCTTTATGACATGGAATTATGGTCAAATGAGTTTCCTATTGAAGCCGGAAATATTTTTATGATCAGATCCCTTTGTCGATGAAGGCCCTTTCGTATAACAGGATCCGCATGGTTTAGAAATATAGAAAACATTCATGGAAACCATTACGAGAACTCTCAGATGTGCTCATAATAATAAGATTTTGTTATTTCACTTGCATGTTTCGTTCTTTTAACAGCGCTTAATGTTTGTGTGGGGATCAATATATCCTACAGCTGCAATATTGCTAAAAGCGACCTTAAACAGCAGTCAAATACGAAATCCTTTGAAACTTGCTGACAATCACAATGAGAGGATTTATGGAATCATATTTTCTGATGTTTAATATTAGCAGATTTCTTCCCCGTGTTGATATTTGCAAATTTGAAAAATACAGTACATTTGTTAAACTGTTAACCTTTGACTAAGCAAGAGTTTGATTTCTTTTGAAATCAAAACAGGTAGGTGTTTTACTCTCTTTGATTTCTTATTTCATCATTCCTCAAGTACAAACTCAGTCTAAGTAAACTTAGGCTCAGTATTTTTCGTTACACTGCTATACTGAGTGTAATGAAAAATACTGAACCTAAGTTTACTTAGACTGGTACAAACTTTAACTTACAAACCATTGTCCAAGCTGTCAACGATTATAGTGTATCTGATAATTGCCATACCAAAATACCAAAGTTATTTCATAACGTTATAAATGGCATTTCCAGTCCTTAACCTTCCACGACATTTGTGTTTCATAACCGTCTCATGTCTCAATGTGTGCGAGACATTCAGATAAAAATATATAATTCATGTTTTTCAAAATTCTTCACATGAAAGTCGCTTTGTATTTCGCTTAAACATTTATTTTATTTTGAATTGGTTGAGATATGTCGTGCGGAAGAAATCATACATAGAATGTCACGTTTGAGTGGGTGTTTCAAAAGACGTGTCAAATGTTTTGTCGATGAATGTGCAACACTCCATAAACTCTTGCTTGCAAGAAAAGGAATAGATTTTTCGAAACAGTGAACACCGTAAAAAAAAATTCAATTTAAATGATCTCTCTGACTCCCCGATGTTCATAGTTCCAACTTATTTTCTGCCACTGCTTTGTGGTGTTATGTGCCGTTCTGTTGCCGTTTACTTTGGTTAGTTGAGCAGTCTTTGAGTTCCTTGTTCAATGCGTATACCACGTCATTGAAGCCTATACGATCGGAGAAGGTGCTAACTGGCCAAAGACCATTGTCAGGATGAATCAAAGACTCGAACCCACAACCAGTGGCCAACATTGGCGCACTGAGCCACTGGGCCATCTGTGTCCCTGCATTATATACGGAGGCGAGAGAACAAGCCCAAATCAAACAGCAATATTACCTTGGATCCTCACATTACATCATCCGCGCGTATCGATCATCAGTCGGATTCCCAAACATGTCCACATCACGCCTGTTCTTAAACAGCTACACTGGCTCCCCATCAAGGCAATAAGTGACTACAAAATCCTCTGCTTGACCTACATGGCCCGTCACGGTCTTGCTCCCCCATATCTCTCTGACCTGCGTACTCCTTACTCAAACAAACGCTACCTTCGATCATCTAATCAAGTGCTTCTGTTTGTGCCAAACTTCAGGCTTAAAACTTTTGGAAAAGGGACCTTTTCATATGCAGCTCCAACCTTGTGGAATTCACTCCCAAACAATCTGAAAGTTTCTGATAGTATTGCAACAGTCAAGTCAGGACTCAAAACATACCTGTTTTCAATGTATTATTAGGAACTCTGTTTGGACGTGTACATATTCCTGTATAAATGTCATAGACTCATTTAATCTGTTTGTTGCGTCTTGAGCATATCTACAGACGTGGAAAAGGCGCATGAAGAAATCTGCATGAAGAAGATTCCGCGTATACTTCTTAACTCTGTTTTCATACAGATCCAAATTCATGTCACTGTCGGCTTGGTAATATCAAATGGTGTCTGTATGTATGCGTACGTGCGCGTGCGTTTGTGTGTGTATGAGCGTAAGGCACTGTATTGGGTACAATTTAATTACCAATTAAATTACTAATTATTTCATTACTTTTTAATGACTGTCAGACTTGTCTCTGTGACATAAAGATTTGGCTACGTTTAGAAAGTGTTAATTAAGTATGACTAAAACAGACTGAAGTTGGCGTCAGTGCAATATAAGAGGGAACTTGAGTACTCATTTCGAGAAATGACATCGATGTGAAGTTACTGCACCATGAATACAGCACCAGGACAACGGACCAAGGTGCTCTGAGTGCAAACTATACGTCCTCCCGAGAGACTCATTCCTGAAAATGGTTCCATCAGAGACAGTCTCCGATGACCTTTTTACTGAATTGTCCAATCTTGTAAAATCTTTGACTTATATCACACTCAGTAACGAATGTTGTCGAAGAGACTTGTAGGAATTGATTTCTTGAGTCATGACCCTTTTCAGACGAAATTCAATTACTTCTTGGCATCTTATCGGAACGTTGACAACTGCACAGTCAAAGCATCACTTTCACTTGGCCAAAGCAACGATTATGTCTTCGATGGAGTCACAAAAATATCCATGTTAGCATGCAATGATTGATATTATCTCAGTTTAAAGGAGATACTGTTAGTCTGACAGCGAATTTCATTGCTTTGACGGTCGGGCTTATTTAGATGCTAATTTCATTTTCTTTTCTTTGGAAGAAAGTTTGAGAACTTTGATAAGCCACGGGGCTGTTAGCTCTATTAAGTCTAGATGTCTCATGTGACCCTGTGTTCCTTTCAAGAAAAAGCAATTTGCGATATTTCTGTTTTCATCATTTACAGAGTTGTACCTATTCGAGAAACAGTGGTCGATCTTCCTGTTTCTTTTGGCTCCGAGCCAGTGTCAACTGCTCGAAAACTATTCCAGGGTTTTAATGGTTACCACTGACATTTTGCTTATATGAATAATCCATGGCGGTTAGAAAAATAAACTTGTCAGCCTCTAAGTTCATAAATATTATATAACCAGGGAAACATTCAATAAATGTTATTCATACCGGCGACAGTAATATTTTTTATTTCTTTTGACTTTCTTTCTGTACCCATTTACGCATGGCGACACAACTCGCTGTACAGAGTTGCGTCCCTTAGTTATGCCATGATTCGCTGGTCGTTGGTTTTAATCCTCTCTGGAATGTCATGTGTTATCTTTCGTGGTTTTTCACTCGTTAAACTCACACACCGATGTTTTACCGAGTGACTGTTCAGAATAGCGTTAAGGGCAGACTGTTTCTATATAGTTAGCACGAATATTCACGTCGGTAGGTCGAAAAAAATAGAAAATCCAATTTCAATTCATTTTCGTTTATTTTTTACAAATGTTTAGTAGGTTGGAAAAAGAAACGGGCGGGAGCTTTTAAGATATGTTTTCAACTGATGTCAGTTATAGTATTTGAAGACTTAGTTTATGTCGAGAGATGCAGTAAATGACGTCTTTTTGTACATTTTACGTCTGTCTGGTTTTCGCAGTGTTACAGAAGTTAAATAAACATAGCTTTGAAATTGTTGTCAGTTTTTCTTGTTTCACCTTTACAAGTCGATCGATTCGAAAACACGTTTTATGATAAGTTTTAACGTTACTCACCTTTTCAGTGGATCCCAGACTCCATTCAGTTTGGTTTTAACTTTTTGTTATTATATTCATTTAATATGTATTTTGGTTTTGTTTGTTGTTTTGACATTCACTAAGCATCTGCCTTTGCGTTTACAGGAACAGTACATCTTCGTGTACGACTGTCTGCTGGAGGCACTTATCTGCGGCGACACAACAGTCACCAGCCACAACTACGTTGAAAGCTATTCCGACATGTGTCAGTTCGACTCTGAGATAGGCAAGACCAAGATTGAGGAACAGTTTGAGGTAAGCTGATACGCTGGTGTTTTCCGTCCCAAAACCAAACCACAGCCCCTACATCTCTGTTGACCCCTTTTCACATTGGCGATGAGGTAGCCTAGTGGTTAAAGCGTTAGCTTGTCACGCCGATGACCCGGGTTCGATTTCCCATATGGGCACAATGTGTGAAGCCCATTTGTGGTGTCCCCCGCCGTGATGTTGCTGGAATATTGCTAAAAGCGGCGTAAAACTGAAGTCACTCTCTCCTTTACACATGCTTCCACCCATACGGAATATTAAGCCCCACGCCTCAAACCAAACCCTGACCTAAAACTCCGCCTAAACTGTCGCCACCATCACAGCTAAGAGTTCAATCACCCATGCCTGTTGTTACGTCTGACAAACCCCATGAACTTTGAAGCAAATGGGCTGACTGGCAGACATGACAAGGATGGAACGGCCAGGCTGTGTGACGTATAGGGCCCGTAAGTAGGTCTCGGCACTTTGCGAGACTTAAGTACTTCCGGCGCCAAACAACGTTTTACGGCAATGGCGATAGCACTGTTACAAGGGGCATGTTCTGACTAATCATACTACTGTCTGACTCAGAAGACTTGGGCTATGTTGCATGAATATCACGTGTATACCTGCCAACAGCTGTGTAGCCAAGCGTAGTAGTACACTGTGTCCAGTCCAGTGAAGTCATACTTTGCGGCCGCGCAATTTGGAACCAGAACTGGTTCTTGAATACATGGATGTCACCGGAAATCTATTACCGGAAGTAGGGCCTCGCGAGACTTACGGGACCTATTATTGTACATATTTATCACTCATGCTTTAACTCTCTGGTTTGCCTTCTTTATCACCATCCACAGAAACAGGTCCACTATATGAGTGACTTCGACTATATACAAAATGCACTCACTCACCGAAGCCAGAATGCATCGCGATATTGTATTAAACATAAGTTAAGCTGATTTAATAACTCATGTGAGTGATATTGAAAACTTAATATCGTCAACGTAATGATGGCAGTTTTACCAACTTTTTACATATTAAAACTGTGAAAAAACGAAGGCAATCCGTAGCTCGAGTTTAATAAGCTTGATATGGCTTCAACAAAGCCATCGAGGATCAAGTTATAATCGACTTAATATTTCTTGAACTGTTCATGTCGACTTGAAATTCAGTTACAGTTATTACATTCGGAAGTGCATGGAACGGATTGAAAACAGGATTGTATTTGTTAAAGAGAAATGTGAATATCCAAACAAAAAGACATGATGCCACATCGGTCACGTTGCCCTGTCAACACAGTGTTTTGAAGTTCGTTTTTATGTTTTTAACGAAAAGCCAACAATATTATATTACTGCATGTACTAGATAGTTTGGTTGCTTCTGAAAGTTCATACAGAACCCGATCGCCTTGGCTCAAATGCAAGAACCGGCCTTGAAAAGATGTTGGGCAGTTATATAAGGGTATCCATTTTCTGGTACTTAAAAGTCACTTCCGTTTTGGAACGGTTGTCTGCAAAGCCAAATATACAAAGACCAGGTTCTGACTTAAGTCCGTTTCCCAGACAATAAATGCCTAAGGTATGGCATCAGCGCACAAATGAGTACTGTAACCTGTTCATGAAACCAGTCGCCAAGTGCCATCTTTGTTACCTCAGGGGAAATATGTTTTACAAAATTGGACAGGAACAGGTTTCAGAAATGATTCTTTAGGAGTACAGCGCCTGATAGATTCCTGTTTTGGAAGACACAGAGTACGTGTGAATATATAACTGTCATGCGTAGAACTCGTTAGATTTAATTCAGTCTCTCTGATGTACGTTTTGATGGGCACAGAGTAGATGAAGTGTCACATTTAGGTAGGTCTCGGTCGTTTCAAGTGTGGATGTTTTACATTCTTAAAATGGTGAACTGGTAGCATTTGAAGGATATCGGTATCCATTTGGTCTCTTTCAGTGTGGAGGATACTGGATAAGTATGAAAACGCGTCGGTCCAAATGGGGAAACATGTGTCACCTTTACTTTCTTTACATGAGCATTTTTCAGGTTTAGCTATGTGGAAAAAATACATACATATGCAAGCACGCACACACATACTCATGTGTCGCCCCGTGAAGATCCGGGTTAGAGCTGATCTTCATTAGTGAGTAAGTGAGTTTAGTTTTACGCCGCACTCAGCAATATTCCAGCTATATGGCGGCGGTCTGTATTTAGTCGAGCCTGGACCAGACAATCCAGTGATCAACAGTATGAGCATCGAACTAAATAAATGGTGTAAAACCAGGCTGATTCATACCATCGGCTCGTCATTTCTGGTGTCCCCGACGTGATGTTGCTGGAATATTGCTAAAAGCGGCGTAATCCTTCAGTCACTTACTCACTCTTTCGTATCACCTTTTACAGCGCTGTTGTTGTTTAACTAGCCAATAAAAGATAACGGATTGAAACGGAATGGACCTCAGATGTTTGTCACTTCTCACATGTGTACAAACCGTTGCGTTATCTACAGCCGCTATGGACAGTGCTTTGAGACAAGATACACAATTCCTAATATGAGTCGAAGCCAGGAAAAAGATTCTTTAGTCGCCAAGATGTCGGATCAAGTACGATACATCTGCCCGTAGTGGCACTCGAACATCATCTTTTTTCGAAGAGTTTCCAATATTCTGTGTGCTCAGCGAGCCAATTCTACAATAGCAATTTGAAGAGATATCTTTTTAACCCTGGTTCTATTGACAAAACCCAGCTGTTTGTCATTGTCAAAGATTCAAGATGTGTTCTTGGTTTAATTTGTTGGTGCAAATTATTGGCTGAGTTGTGTCAGGAAGTGATTGAACTGTATAATGCACAGATCATGTCCATCCCATTGTGGCAATTGTTTCTTATGTCCAGTGCCTACACCAACATCGCTACGCTACATTGTATTGTAACAGTTACAGTCTGTAGAGATCGATCAGTCCTTGTAGTGAAGCCTTTACATGTTTTACATACAAGGAATTAAATCAAGCAATGGTGTGTTTATGATTGCAAGGAATATAACAAAGTCTCATTCTGTTTATGGGTTTTGTGTGATAAATAAATCAAGAGACATTGTGTTTATGGCTGTAAGGAGTAAAATAAAGCCACATTTTGTTTTTGGCTGTAAGGAATACTTCTTGCGACATTATCTTTATGTTTTTTGCGGAATGAAGACCTTTCCTTCTATGAATAAAGAGGAATGTGATCCCAGCGGGTCGATTGCTTGAGTGAAATATGACAAGACTTTTATTGATTTTGATTCCAAATAAATTATTGCCAAAGGACATATTTTTTTATGAAGACCGTTTCATGGGGCGAGCTGGCTAAGGCGCCAGGCTAGTGATCCAGCGAGGTTGAGGTGTCGGGATCGAGCCCACCTGTGACCGGGTGTAAAACCTTGGAGTCAACTTTGTATGCAGACTCCGTTGGTATTTGGCCAGATGGTGGCCACATGAATACGTGCAAACACCTAGTTGCGGGTACAGCAACGTGCAGTGAACATGGACAAAGTACTGTGACTATGTGTCCCAGTACACCCAGCTGTGAATGGGTACCTCGTTAGGATGAGAAAGCCACAATAACTCGGTGCGCCTAGTGGCTACACGAGTTGTATACTCCCCAGTGAGTTGAGATTGATAATGCGATGTGCCGTTGAGATTGACATCCAATGATCGAGGGAAAAATACCAGCGCCTTGAGCATGCACAAGTGCGTGGATATGTGCGCTATATAAATATCCTATAATAATAATAATTTACAGAAAGGTCATCATAACTTATTTTATGCCACTGCTGTTTTCAGATTTTGAAACTACTGTCGACGACGATAGAACGTGATGAAACCACGACAGCATTGCGGCCTGAAAATATATTCAAAAACAGGTGCAAGAACATAACACCAGGTAAATATCAGTATTGTTTGTGGTGAGTGATGTTTGCAGATCTTTAAGCTGACAGAGAGCGAGTGAGTCAGTTGGGATTTACGCCGGTTTTAGCAATATTCCAGCAATATCACGGCGAGGGACACCAGAAAAATGGGCTTCACACACTGTACCCATGTGGGGAATCGAACCCGGGTCTTCGGCGTGACGATTGAACTCTTTAACCACGAGGCTACCCCAGCGCCCCTGCTTGTGGTGAACGTACACAATGGCTCTCAGAGGTGTGTCTTATGGAGAGTGTTCATGATCGTTTGTTTAGGTTTATGAAATCTCTGTAAACGGGAAATGGTGCAGGCTTGTGGTTAAAGGAATCTCTCGTCGAATGCCAGAGTTCGAATCCCCACATGGTAGGGCTGCGCAATATAACCGGTTTACCGGTATTTACCGGTTCAGACATGAAAACGATACGTATTGCGATACGTTGATCGAAAACCGGTATTTTGACATGCATTCGGAAAACTTCGTAACACTCGGAAATCTTCGGATATTTCCGTTTTTTTAATTGTTCTTTTCCCTGTTTCATTAGTGCCAAATGTTACTTACATTTTTATTTTGTCATGATTAAAAGTTTTTATGAAAGGTTAATCAATTATAGTGATTTTGTTGCGTTTTTGCTTTATAATCCAGCATTAACTCGATTATAAGTATTTTTGTTAAAAAATAATCCTTGCAATATATTGCAATACATATCGCAATATATGCTTCCGCATCGCAATATATCGCAATATGAAAATTCTCTGCAATACCCACCCCTACCACATGGGTACCACGTGTGAAGCCTTTTTCCATTGTGCCATGAATTTACTTTGGATATTGCCTAATGCGCTGTACAACCACACTCACTCGTTCACTCAGTCCATCTTTTACAGATCTTGGAATTAATGATCGTATATATGTATACGTCACGTTCGCCTTTAGCACGATGGCAATACATCGATATTAGCATAATATTAACATGATAGTTACTATTAATGCCAGATTTGTTCCTCATAAGACAACGTTCATGCATGTATCATCAGAAAAAATCAGACGCACTTTCTTAATCAGCTTGATCGGCAATCGGATGAACTACTGGTTAAATCGTCCCAACCTCACGCCGAAGTCACGGGTTCGATTCCCTACATACGATTACTTCCTGTTCGCCATTAGCAGAATAGAGTGAATAGAATGAGTGAAACTATACTCACCCTCCCAAGAAAAGTGATAATTCTGATGACTTGATGGGCGTTTCCTTCATCCAAATTTTGATAAATGCGAATTGTACATCATTGTTTGGTTGTGGGAGTCATCAAAGTATGGTTATAGTTTCATTCAGTAGAAATATTTCCCATGTATAGTCATCGCCAAACATCTCTATCGACACCATGGTACAATTGATGTTAAGCAGTGTCCAGAAAGGGTTGTCCAGAAAGTGTCTTCTGTACGAATACATGAGCTTGATCGAGATTCATGTTCTGTTTCAGCCAATCGGTGTCGACCTTACTTGATGACGCCATGTGATGGCAGCAACGACTACATCAACGCTGTCTACATCAACGTGAGTAAAACTATGACGATCCAACTTCACAGCTTCATCCCCAGTACCCGTGATGATCCGGGTTAGAATTGGTCTTCAGCAACCCTCGGTGTTGCGAGTAAGGCTCGCTGACTTGGTTGACACATGTCATCGTATCCCAATTGCGTAGATCGATGCTCATGCTGTTGATCACTGGATTGTCTGGTCCAGACTGGATTATTTACATATAGCTGGAATATTGCTGAGTGCAGAGTTAAACAACAAACCAACCCAACCAAACTTCACCCAAGCCTCACAACAACTTATTTCTCCCATACCGGGTAGACGTTTCAGTGATCTTAAAGGGGTGTTGGGAGATACTGTATTTTGCTTCCACATCCAGTCCCCAGTCACCTACGACTGTAAGATGCGGCTCAGTGGATTAGATAGTCAGGCTCTGTGACTGTGGATTGCATGACATCATACCCGGTGGGCAGGGAACTTTGTTTGCTCATCACATCACCCGATTGTCTGGTCCAGACTCGATTGCCAAAAAGCAGCTATGCGACTTTGGTGACTGCGATGTAAAACAAATAAAGTTAACATGCACATATATGCAACTGAATAAGTATACATCTATCAGTCCCCTTGTTATGCCCCATCCCTAAACGCAGGCTCGAACTCCAAACTGATAGTTACCTCTGCAAAACTGTCCTTGACCAGCAATGCTCATACACTGTTTAAAACTGGAATTATTTCTTTAATGCTGTGGAGAACCATTTCAAGGGCCGCACGTGCCTATTGCTAAAAGCGGCATAAAACTAAACTCACTCACTGTTTCAGGGCTACCGTCAGAAGGACGCCTACATCGCGACCCAGATGCCCCTCCCAAACACTGTGGCAGACTTCTGGCGGCTGGTGTACGACCATCACTCCTTCTGCATCGTCATGCTGAACGAGATCGACGACAAGGACGAGGTATGTAGATACGGTAACTCTTAGTGATCGGGTTCAATCTCTTCAACTTGTTTGCTCTTTTGTGAAACCAACAACGATAAGGTATGGTGCCGACAAACCTAGACACATAATCAGGACGAGTCTCGAATTATAACTAGGTCCTGGCACGCATAAGGGACGCAACTCTGCAATCATTCATTCCTTCATCCACTCCGTGTGTGGTTGCTGCACCAGGATGTGCGTATCACTGTTATTTGAAATGAAACCGTCGTCATGACTATTTTCTATAAAGGCGACTAAATAGGGGATTGGTTGGCTGCACTGACTTCAAGGTATGAATACCTCTGTATTAATGACTGAGTCATCAATCACTGATTTTTTCCTTGTTCGCATTTATTTGCATCAAAGACAACAAAACGTTAGACAAATGAAGCTGTTATAGGAAACGAAAAAGGGCGTCCTTTGACAATTCATCTCACGGTCCCATATCTGGTGTGATATTGCTGGAATATTGCTAAAAGCTGTGTAAAATGAAGTCATCTCCCGGTAATGTAGCCTAGTGGTTAAAGCGTTTAAAGCTGGCCACGCCAAAGACCCGGGTTCGATTCCTCACATGGGTACAGTGTGTGAAGCCAATTTCTGGTGTCCCCCGCCGTGATATGGCTGGAATATTGCTAAAAGCGGCGTAAAACTATACTCACTCACTCACTCATGTCATACACAGTCCAACAAAGTCTTTGACCGTCAAAGTGGTGTAGTGGTTAGAACGTCCGCCCGGAGAGCGGAAGGTCGTGGGTTCGATCCCCAACCGCGTCATACCAAAAGACGTTAAAATATGGTATGTTGGTCCCTGCCTGGCGCTCGGCATTAATGGGTACAGCAAGGACTGGTCGGCTCGGAGTCAGTATAATGTGTCTGAGTGGGGTATTCATGCTTCACTGCGGCATGGTATCTCAGTGGGCTAGCACTATAAAACCAGCTTCAGTCTGGGCTAGTACAAGCAGCCGCACATACACATACACACGCATGCACGTCGTCATATGAGCGAAATATTCTCAAGTACGACGATAAACCCAATTTCACCTCATCTCACCTCACAAAGTCTTTCACGAAAGAATTTTGAATACTTTGGAAATATAAAAAAACATGACTTTTCTTGGAAGAAGATGATTATTTAACCTTTTCGTGTTTCTGAATCATATCAAGGACGATCTTTGACCAGTGATTGTTCATTTTATATCGAATATTCCGCACGACTGATAATTGATTTTTCCTCACATAATTTCCATGATGGAACTTTCATGCAAACAAACGTTTAAAAAGTTTTGCTTCTACTTGACCTTAACGAATACAGAAGGAAAGTTTCTGATCTGGTACAGTTTGGCCATTAGGGATATAGTATATTTCAAAGGAAATCATGTTCATTCGAGTCATGTGTGATTTTTATCCTTTACGAAACAAAAAATGGCTTTACAAACAAAATATTCCTTCCATAAATAAACTGTGTCAACATGTTAGAGGGCATAAAGGTCTCAAGGAGCCAATATTGTGGATTGGATGCGAAACCGAGTGGTCACAATGACAGATCTATGTAATTAGGTTTTTCTTGATCATAGAGACGTGAGGTTTGAACTATATTGTGGATTGGATACGCAATTGAGTGGTCAAAATGGCAGATCTGTGAAATTGAGGATTGATCTGGCTAACACTGTGGTTGTGCTCCTCGATTCTGTGGTTAGTCAGTCTTGCTTTTACCCGTGAAGATCCGGGTTAGAATTGATCTTCAGCAACCTATCATTGTAAGAGGCGACTTACGTATGTTTTTGCCTAACTCGAATGATTCATTATTTGTTTGTTGTTTAACGCCGCACTCAGCAATATTCCAGCTATATAGCGGTTGTCTGTAAATAATCAGTCTGGACCACACAATCCCGTGATCAACAGTATGAACATGGATCTGCTCAACTGGTATACAATGACATGTGACTACCAAGTCAGCGAGTCTGATCTACCGATCCCGTTAGTCGCCTCTTACGTCAAGCATGGGTGACTGAAGATCAATTCTAACCCGGATCTTCTTGGGAAGATCAGTACTCCCAACTAATGAAATAGGTGGAATACTGATGTCAGCGACGCTTAACAACATTCAGCAGAAGACACACGGTGCATCTCTCATGATCGTATTTATTTCAAATTAATGCACCATTCCTAAGTATATAATCTTTCACTAAAGATATATATCAGCTCTTATACACCAATACGAGATGGTGGGGTAGCCTAGTGGTTAAAGCGTTCGCTCGTCACACCGAAGACACGGGTTCGATTCCCCACATGGGTACAATTTATGAAGCCCATTGTTGGTGTCCCCCGCCGTATTATTGCTGGAATATTGCTAAAAGCGGCGTAAGACCAAACTCACTCACTCACTATACACCAATAAGTGGTGTAAAACCCTGCTGATTCATGCCATCTGCTCGTCATTCTGTACACAATAACTCGACATATCAATCTGCATTGGGTCCTCCGACAAGGGTGCCGTCTACCTCCGTCTTTATTGATTATAAGCGCGCAAATGCAGGATATTAATTAAGCGTAACTACGACATCCGGACGTAGAACAAACACAAAAAGCTCAGCAAGTATGAAATATTGCCTGGTATTTTGATCGATCTGTAAAGTGGACAAGGTTATGTTTGAAGAAATTCTGAGAGTTGGCATTGATATTGCATGTTTTATTCTAGAAATTTTACAGATGAGTCTGAGGTTGCAGGGGGTATTTCTGCTCGTTTGTCTGGCTCTTATCCCCGCAAAGGGTTATCAACCACTCCGCTTTAATTACACTAAGATATTCATGTTATTATAATGACTTCAATCGTCGGACGCAGTCTATAAATATGCCTTTTTCTCAAGCACTTTATTCTGTAATACGTTAGACGAGGTCAAATTACTCTACAGTTGTTTGAAATTTAGGCTCAGGATGAGTCAGGAATTTTTTCAGTTTATTTTGCCGATCACGGGAGTTGTTAAAGGTTGAGATTTTTACTATCTCTGATTCAGCCTGTTGCGAGGGGCTTTTCATTGTAAATTTGCGTTTCTTTAAGTATGGTGACTAAGACCAATCTCAACAGACCAGACAGGAGCCGTAGTGTCCATTGACAAACATTTCACATTAGCTGATAATATGGACTTCAATATTCGGGTTAGACACGCGTTTAGTTCAAGTACATTTATCCAGATATCAAACAGCTGTTAAATGAATTAAGGTATTGGATTTTAAAAAATGAGATGTGCTTTTTGCGTTTCAAGTTTCCGTTTATTGATATTTCTTGTCCGGCCTTCTGGAGTTGAGCATGTCTTGGTGAAAAAAATCTTGGTTAATTGAAATGAATCGATAGGCGCTAAAATATCCAATTAAGCTTTTCGTTTATCATCTTTCTGTTACGCCTGAGCTGGTTTTAAGAAACTGATAAATTGGTCTCTCCTTCACTTAATTAACATTTCAGGCTTGAATAATGATTCCGTGTGTATTCTTTGACAACTACACGTGAACATGCAGTTGTTGGAGTAGAAGGGCAATGTTGTAATAACTGGGGGATAATTGTTGGATTTGCAGTGGTAGTCGTTCTTGTAGAAGATGTTGTAATATGTGTGGGTGGATGTGATGGGGTTTAACAATGCGTTCAAGATTATTGCACAAGTAGAGCGACGTGTATACACTTGTGTGTGTGTGTGTGTGTGCGTGCTGGTACCGGAAGTAAACTGGGCCCCGTCTCGCATATCGCGCGCAAAGAGAGCCGGGAACCAGCTTGGTACCGGAAGTAGTGCCTCGCGAGACTTACAGGCCTTATACCATCATCTGTGTAGTGGAACATCGATATGTCACGAAATCGCAGTGAACTGATTTTCGGCAAAACAATGCTTGTTTTGTCCCTGTAATGCCGCCAGGCAGGGCAACAACAAATACCATTTTTAATGTCTTTTGTTATGAGGGACCTGGGCTCAGAACCTCCATCCTTCCGCTGTCTGTGGATGATGCGCTGGCCACTAGACAACAGAGGCGCTTTTATTGTAGAGTTGATTCCTAGTACAAAATATGTTGATCGGGTGTTCGGATCCCAAACTTGATTCGATTATGCTGTTTACTCAATAGGTCCTCGTAGGTTTCACAAATACGATGAACAATTAGAACTTACGTTAATATACGATTATAGTCCCACTTTAAGATGTCATGGTGTGTTGCTACAGAGTAGTGTTCAGAGTGCGTTTAACTCCAGTCTCTCACTTCTCTCACACTGAAGCTACATGTAATATAATTGGTTTTTGTAGTAGTAGTAGTAGTAGTAGTAGTAGTAGTAGTAGTAGCAGCAGCAGCGGCAGCGGTAGTGGTAATGGTAGTAGTAGTAGTATTGGTAGTAGTAGTAGGATAAGGAGGAGGAGGTTTATATGAAGGAGCATTGGCGTTGGTGGTAGTAGTAGTAGCAGCAGCAGCACCCGTTGCTGTTGTTATCCCCCGCAACGCGTTTTGCGGGGGGAATTAAAATGAACTCCGTCCGTGCACATTTGTCTTTTCCGGAGCAGAACTCTAAAACCGTTCACTATTTCTTTACCAAACTTGGCACATAGATATATCTGGTGGTGTACTGGTGCCTTTTGGTAGTTTTGGAATTCTGAATAAATTTTTTTGGGCGTTTCCGTGGCAACAAGTTTGACTTAGCCTGAAATTGGTGGTAGTGCTCTTTTCCGGAGCAGAACTCTAAAACCGTTCACTATTTCTTCACCAAACTTGTCTGAATAAAATATTTTGGCATTTCCATGGCAACAAGTTTCACATAGACTGAAATTGGTGATAGTGCTCCTTTCTGGAGCAGAACTTTAAAACCTTTCAATACTCCCCTTCCACTTTTCTATATACACACCTAAATATTTGACATAATCATTACTCGTAGACATAATCATGAAGAGTATTTTGCCATTGCGGGGGATATTGATGACTTTGTCTTATTGTTGTTGTTGAAGTGGCGTTAGTGGTAGTACAATGTAGTAGCAGCATCTTTATATGTCATAACAGAGTCCAGTTACTGATATTATCGAGGTAGGATGACAAGCAATCACATCGCCTGGCCACCTGATCCGTTAAGTCGCCTCGTACAACATGATGCTCTGTATTTCAGACGTGCAAACAGTACTGGACTCTCGACACCTGCGGCAACAACTACGGACCCTTCATCGTGGAGACGACGGCCGAGATTAAGTCTGACCCTGCGGTTACTGTCAGGGACTTCACCATCACCAATACACAGATAGTAAGTCTTACAACTTTGACTACTGTCATTGGCGGGGGTGGGGGTGGGGTTTTTTTTGGGGGTTGTTGTTTGCGTTGGCGGAGCCAATGGGGGGGGGGTTTCAGGGGGTCTGAACCCCCTCCTTTCAAAATTCCCCCCTGAACCCCCTCCTTTCAAAATTCCTGGATCCTCCCCTGACTTTGAAATATTACTTTTGAATAATTTCAGACGATACCATGACAGTATTTAATGAAACAAATATTTCTCATGTATATCTTAATATATTGGTTTTTGAATTCTGAGTTGCTACATCGGTGTTTTTAAATTTGATAAATGTTTGAATTTAAAAAGGAAAGTGATGGAAACATAGAAGTTGAAATTCGTATCCAGGAACACGTCTCGCAAAGTAGTCTTGGACCAATGATTATTTTCGTTCCATACTCTGACACAGACGGGCCCAGCAATATTAATCTATTCGGAACAAACCAACGACGAGAAATTATATGTATCTCGAAACTATATGTATCATATTTGATGCATGTTGTCTCAAGGCTTCTTTAATACGTTATTTGTGAAGATCCGGTTTGGAATTGGTCTTCAGCAACCCATGCTTGTCTTAAGAGGCGACTAACGGGATCAGGTGGTCAGACTCGCTGAGTTGGTTGGCAAATGTCATCGTATCCCAATTGCGTAGATCGATGTTCGTGATTGATCACAAGATTGTGTGGTCCAGACTCGATTATTTACAGACCGCCTCCCATAGCTGGAATATTGCTGAGTGCAGCATTAAACTACAAACAAGCAAGTTTAAAATACGGCTTTGACCGCTCATATGATTACAGCATCCTTACTTAAACATATACTTGGTGTTGAGGAATGTAGCATTGTGAATATTAATTCATTTGGAACAAACCGACGGGGAGAATTAGAATGTACGTCGGATATTATATATGTTTATTATATTATATCTTCTTCATTTAATGATCGGTCTTGTTTTATGAAGATTGCTTCTTGTAAACGTCCCCCATATTTCTTGCAGCCGTCTGAACCCCCACGGGTTGTCCGACAATTCCACTTCCACCGATGGGCAGAGGGGCAGAACGTCCCCAGCTCCAAAATCGCCCTTCTGGAACTCTTGGACATGGTTGAGAGATGGCAGCACCAGTATGAGAACAAGCCAGTAACAATTCACTGCATGTGAGTAAAAGGAATGTTAAGGATTCAAGGGGCGGTGGGGTAGTGGTTAAGGTGTTCGCTTGTCCCCAGTTTCGATTCCCCACATGTGTTCATTTACCATTTCTGGTGTCCCCCGTCCTGATATTGCTGGAATATTGCTAAAAGCAGTGTAAAACCTTACGCACACACTATTAAGATTCCAGATTTGGTTATAATCAAATTTTGTCAACACTAGTTGTGAGGAAACTGTTATAAATCATCTCGGCGCTGAGATCAAATGTTCCCGGTATAGTTCCTGAAAGTATTTGTCACGAAATATGTATATTTGTTCGAGACGAATCAAATGCCGTTCCCTAAAAATAGTTGACATATCTTCACGAGTATATAAAATCATATCAAGATTAGAAAATATAGTCATAGTTAAGGTAATTCGATACGTTGTTAGGAATGTTATATTTGATGAAAGACCACGGCACATTGTATTTATACAAGTATTTGTAAGGAAATAGTATATTTAGGGCTAGACGTGTGAAGGTCAAAGTTAACGAGTTGCTGTAGGACGAATATTGAATGTCCTCGAGACGGAACTGTCAATGAATTGTGTGGGTTTTTTGGAGTTACGAATGTATGACATTACAAGAGCCTGTCTGGATTTCGACAAACTAATCAGAACTTGTTCTGCCTGTGGGCAGTTGTCTGGAAGGCAGCATATTGATATAGTCTGTGACAATGTCTGTCTTGAATAACCAATCGACATCAGTGTCAACTATTTCACCCATCAATATAGTCTGATATATCAGTGTTATCGTCACCAAGACTGGTCTTTATTCTGAGGCAGAATATGGACATTCTATGGACACGGATTTGTATAACTGTCAATCGTTGTACATCAGTGGGCAAAATGCCAGTCCTTCATATTGTTTGTAGGAACATAAATCCCATCTGTTAGGAAGAAAATATAATTTGACCAAAAATGTTTGAAGTCTTCCGTTTGTTCCCGTTACATCAGATGGCAAGGGGGGCGGTGGGGTAGTCCAGTGGTTAAAGCGTTGGCTCGTCACGCCGAAGACCCGGGTTCGAATCCCCACATGGGCACAATGTGTGAAGCCCATTTATGGTGTCCCCTGCCGTGATGTTGCTGGAATATTGCTAAAAGCGGCGTAAAACCAAACTCAGTCAGTCAGTCAGTCAGATGGCGAGGCAGTCCGCGTCATGAATTAGAATATGAGAGTGATTTGTCTCTGTGAGTGAGTGAGTTGGGTATAACACACCTTTTAACAGTTTCCATTTACAAAAGATGGCAAAGCGATGTCATGCCATGAAATTGAAATATTGAAATTGGTCTCAGTGAGTTAATGAGATGGGTTTAACACGCTTTTTAACAGTTTTCAGAGATACTAGATGGGCAGGGGATGACATGTCAATAGTTAAAATATTTTTATGGTTCGTCTCAATGAGTGAGTGAGTGGAATTCGTTTAACCCAATTTTAACAGTTTCTAATTGCACCAGATGGGCAGGCGATTAAGAGTTACAAATTAGAATATTGAGAATGGTGTGTCTCAGTAAGAGAGTGAGTTCGCTTTAGTACACCTTTAACAGTTTCCATCTACATAAGATGGCAAATCGATGCGATTACCTGAAATATTGAGAGTGAGTTGTCTCAGTGAATGAGTGAGATGATGGGTTGAGCGCGCATTTAACAGTTTCCAGTTGTACCATGGTATGTCAACTTGAAACCCAAAATGATACAGGACTCGGGTGTTGACCTCTTGAGAAACCCTAAGTTGTGTAAATCTGCAACATTCTCCTCAAATATGGCTATCATGTTAACCTAGTACAGATAGTAGGGTTGACATATATATACTACTCAAAATAGTTAAGGACCAACCGGTTCTTCTTATTACAATAGTTCTCTCCCATGGCATGAACTTCGAAATGGATGTTTGTCAAATTCAAAGCAATTCCAGGAATGGGTTCTTAAATTTTATTCGTTAACATGAACTTAGTATTGTGCTGAACTTAGTATTGTGCTGAACTTAGTATTGTGCTGCTTGTATTGTGGTGATTGTTGGTAACTGGCGTGATAGATTATAAAGATTAACTCTAATAATTTGAGAGAATCACGCTGTCCTTATCTTTTTTTGACCAGCATAGAACATGACTTCGAGAAGTGTCTTTTGACATCGACCAGAAGAGCGTTTTTTTATCATTAACCTGTCCCTATGACAACGCTTAGTTTTCAAATACACGTCAATCTAAATTATGATTGAGAATTTTGACAAAACCTCCTTCGTTATTAAGCGATGGAATTCTTGTAATTCAAAACTGAAAAGCGTTGTGGCAAGTCACCCATTTCCGACGTGTCTTGTAGTTAAGGAGATGGTTTATTCCTAAACACATCTGATTGAATTTGGAATTACAAAATTTGTCAAAATTGAGGAAATTACTTGTGATGAATGAGAAATTCGGCACGTTATTTGTCAAACTAAAGAGACACATTTGCTTTGAGTGTGTTTGGTCTTCATAGTTAAAACAAAAACATTGAGTAAATCCCGAGGTAACCATTTTGATCATCAAAGTGGTTTCATCATGAATATATTTTTTAAATGATGCGAAATGTCTTGTTAGGTTACGACGAGTGATTCAAATGTGGTTCTGAGTCATCATATTATAGATCGTATTTCTCTGAGAAAATTACGAAAATAAACCTTAATTTCTAATTGAAGATTCTGAAATGAAACCTTTGATTTAAAGTGACTAAATTCATAATTATGGTGTTTATGTTTATTTTTAAATGATAATAATTTAGCGCAAGCCTCCAACAACAGGGCTACCAGAACATGAAGTAGTATCAACGCAGCGCTTTGCATTCTCAGCTCCAGGGAAATGAACATGCAAACATACGTTGTGTACAAACATGTGGACAGATGTTGTATCAGCCTCTAAAAATGTATAAGTAATGTGACTCCTTGGCTTGTATGATCTGGTCAAACTTGAAGTTAAAATGGGAATTTGAAAATCAGGGGGGAAAATACGAAAAAAAAACCATCAATATTTGATCATCCAGAGACATGTTCAGTTATATTGTAAATTAGAATAAAATTTTGAGCATTATTTGGTTATGTTTCTCATGGCGTGTTAAATTAGTTAGGGAGAAAAGCCCAAACCCATGTTCAATACAAAGAAATCGTGGAGTACGTGCGATAAGACAGCCGGAGCCCTATAACGACCTCAGATCAGTACAAAGAGATCCGTGCGCTACGAAGAGGTACGAAAACCGTATCCGTAAAATCGCTCTGTTGACCTGGACCAAGTGTCCAAGAGATCGCAGGGCTATGAATTTCATGTTAAAGTGTAGGGGTGGGCAGTCGTAGCCCAAAAGCGACACCAGAGCAGCACTAAGAGATCCGTTCACTAAGAGAACGCTACAATGTTCACGTAAAAATAGACGATTTAAGAGATCCGTACGCAACGATGCTCACGTAAATGTAGACGACTTAAGAGATTTGTACGCTAAGATGTTCACGTAAAAGTAGACGATTCAAAAGATCCGTACGCGACGATGTTCACGTAAAAGTAGACCACTTGAAAGATCCGTACGCTACGGTCTTCACGTAATAGTGAACGAATTAAGACATCCCTACACCGCCAGGTCAGTTCAAACAGATTCGTATGCTACGAAGTTCACGTTAAGGTAGATGACTTAAGAGATCCGTACGCTACGATGTTCACGTAAAAGTAAACGTGTTAGACATCCATATTCCGCAAGGTCCGTTCAAACAGATTCGTATGCTACGAAGTTCACGTTAAGGTAGACGACTTAAGAGATCCGTACGCTACGATGTTCACGTAATAGTAAACGAGTTAGACATCCCTATTCCGCAAGGTCCGTTCAAACAGATTCGTATGCTACGTTCACGTAAACGTATACGAGTCACAGTCGCAACATTACGTGTGTTTTGCAACTCCACATACAACTTTTACGATTATTCCGAAAACATAATGTATCGAATAGGATATTATGGCACGAACAAATCATTTGCAAGATTCAAGCTTTTCATACGCTGCAGGAAAATCACGGAAAGATGGCGTAAGTGTTTTAGTTGATCTATATTAACTGCCCCCCTCCCCATGCAGTAAATCAGCAAGGACTGTTGGCATTCAGGACAGTGCTGGACGCTTCTTTCACGTGACTCACGCAGCGATGAAGGATTACCAACAATTTATATAAAATATGACATGTAACAAACGGTGATTATTTTGAACTAAGGGAGGCCAATCATTATCCTAGGATGAATATAAAGATTCAGTATTGAATCATGGAGTTTTAATATTTTCAGTCAGAGATTTGAACCAGCTGGGCCGTATTGAGTCACTGAACTTTATGCCTAGCGATGCGTGCGTGTTGCAAGATGTTAAGATGTTTAAGCTCTTTGTGTTAGAAAATCAACATATTTGTGTTCATGAAATACCACAGGATGACATTACGGAGTAAAATGATTCAGAGTGACTGTGATGAATAAGGGTATTGAGTCACCAGATATGATACTTGATCAGAATATGAATGTGATGTAGTATTTTCTATATTTCACAAATTGATTAAGAGTTTGAAGAACGAGAATGTAGGATCATCTCATCTGACAAGCCTCCATATGTTTACGCTGAGGGAAGTTCTATTCGACTTAATGTAGAGTAATGTTCGTTAGCTCCCTAGGACCCGTTCCACAAAGCGGTCTTAGCGCTAAGACGATCGTTACTCCAATGCATTAGCATTGACCTTCCACGATCCCTTTGTGGAACTGGCCCTTGATCCGCTGATCTGGGTTCAGATATCACATTCATTCCTGTTAATGACCGACCTGTTGATATGATATCATCCTGTGAACATGATTGATGTTTTTATGAAGATGTGTTGGAAAAGAGACTAAATTGCTGCTGTCTTCTTTCTTAAAGTGGTGAATCGAAAAATATTCGATCTTACAATGTTGGCCTCCCAACGATGTCCTTACGAACCGTTGTATTAACTTTTTTGCCACTTGTGATTATTTTCTTTTGCGTCATTCTTCGCATTCGGGAAATTGAAATAGTCAAAAATTGGCATTGTCTTTCAGTCCCAAATAGCAAAAGTATGTTAAAGCTGGTGTTAACTCGCGTAACTCAATAGTGCAGAACATAACGTCTTGGTTATTACAGATAAATCATGCCTGATTTTTGGTCATTGTGACCACACAATTCTCATAATGGCTGAAAACAATGATGGTTTGCTGGGGACGCATTATCCTGTTGAATCTTAGTGAAGGTGGACAAAATGTTCGCCCTTAAAACATCGCGTCATGTACACCACATTGGAATACACCACATTAGAATACACCACGTTCAGTACGACTACCATGAAACGTAGGAATATTCTGCACACCAGTACAGCGTGTAGTTAAGACAGATTACTATTCCCCTGACTGACGAGGATGATATTTTCAGGAACGGCGCTAGTCGAGCTGGGCTGTTCTGTGCCGTGAGCTGCATCCTAGAGAGAGTGAAGAAAGACAAGGAAGTCGATGTCTTCCAGGCAGTAAAGCAGCTTCGTCTCAACAGAACGCAGCTCATTGACAACATGGTGAGTACCGTGCCGGCTGATACTTTACCTTTTACATAATTAGACCCGTGAAGATCCGGGGTAGAATAGGTCTTCAGCAACCCATGCTTGTCGTAAGAGGCGACTAACGGGATCGGGTGGTCAGGCTCGCTGAGTTGGTTGACACATGTCATCGGTTCCAATTGCGCAGATCGATGTTTATGATGTTGATCACTGGATTGTCTGGTCCAGACTCGATTATTTACAGACCGCCGCCATATAGCTGGAATATTGCTGAGTGCGGCGTAAAACTAAACTCACTCCCTCACTCACTTTTACATAATTGATACTGCTGTGGATATGATCAACCAACTAGAGAGAAGATAGGTAAAGGAGGTTACATAACAGGGACTGCCTATAGGAAGCTCCATACATCGACGTGCTCATGAAACTTCTGACAAAAGCATCATTAGAAACATCTGCCTGGCCAACCCTCCGAACAGGTGGTGAACGTTATGAAATAAATTTAAAACCTGTGAAATTTACAAAATCTGACCCACAAGGTTCTAAGTAGGCATTTGTTTCAATATGACAGACGAACAGATTATTTGGTAGTATGGGATAGATATCTCAGTTCGTCCAAGGCGCCACAAGTTGCTGTAAGAGTTGCGTCCCTTGGACACGTATTTTCAAAACGGTTCGCCGCGATCATAATTCTGGCTTCGTCAGCATGTTGTCAGTGATCAATTCGTATAATTGTCGTAGCTGTTTTGCCTTTTGCCTTGCTGATGAAGTTAATATTTACTTTCATTTATTTTCAGGAACAATACAAATTCTGCCATGAGATCGTCCTGGACTTCCTCACATCTCCGGAAACTTCCTCCGTTCTCTCATGACGTCACTGCCAAACCGGAAGTCACTAACATAGCCAGCGGTCTATGCATCTGCGCAGAGGATTTGTTCAGTTATCGGAGTCTGTGAACGGGAAGAAAAATGTAAATCTTTTGGTTTGAGGGAACCGTCCAAATATTGTTGCCCGTTTGAAAGACACAGTGTGGTCTAAAAATTTTGCTCTGCGTCAGAAGTTTAGGTCGTGTTCATGGACGCCGTCTCTTCACATCCGGGCGAGTGAATATGAAAACGAGGCTTTACTCTCTACCTCGAAAGAGATGTAGAGTATTCAAAGTTCAATCCAAAGAGAGTATATTAGCCAAGGCGTAGACTGTCTGGTTACCCTTTCTACGGTGCTATGTTCATTCAATACATCACAAATAATAATTTTACAGAAAATTACAACAATTTCCAGGCAGATACCTTGGAGTTAACCATATGGCATTTTTGTCAGAGTTAACATTAACATTAACTCACAGCAAAGAATCCTTGCATACTATTTCTACAAATAAATATCAACAGTCTTTCCATACACCTAACATGAGCCGTAAGCCGAACGGAAGAAAAGTGAACGAAAGTCACGGATGCCCATTTATTAGTCTCCATGACTACACTTAAAACTGTTCCTTATATATGACGCCTCATGACTTTGTCTGAACTAATAATTAGTTGTGATGACACCATTGAACCAAGACAATCTGACAGTGTGTCAGCTCGATTACAACACAGTATTTTTCATGAATCGTGGAAAACGTTTGAAGTGATGAATGAAAACGAAACTGGACACTGATTGGTGCTGAGGAAAATAGTATATTTCAAGACAACATCCTTGCAAGAGAAATGGTTGTGACACCCTCGGTTCAGTGAGGATCCAACAGAGGATCGAGCCTACAGTGAAAAGTAGTCGTTAGTCAACCACCATCTGTTATGAATCCTATTTTCTGGACGTGTGTTTGTGATAGTTTGCTTGTATGAGATGGGCAGTAGAGCTGTGTAGATCAATTAACTGAATGAAATCCAAGAAACTGTACATAACCATGTTGCCAGTGCCGAAGATATAAAAAAAATCGCGGTTACTTCCCTTGGCTTTGCTGTAGTATCCAGTGTTATGTCAACAGCGTTTGTGAAGCGAACCTCATTCGGATCATTTCGTGCAGCACCTCTTTCACATGAAGAAAATAGTCGAGATTTCCTAACCGGCTTTCTTCCATTAGTTTTATTTCGCAAGAACATCACGCATAACTTCACCAATTTCATGACGATTTGTTTGTATTATTTAACCTAGACGAACATTAAAAATATGACGAACAGAACCGTCTTTAAATGTCACATCTGACGTTGTGTATTGCCAGCTTATTTCACATATGAGAAATTGTTCAGATGTACGGGAAACTCAAACAATCTGATAACCTCGTTGTGTTCACTATGAACGTTTCCGGAGTATGTCGACTTGTTCCGAATGTCCGAATGAAGGTATGGGTGTGTTGGGCCAATGCCATGGGGCTTCTGGGATTGTTAGACATAGAAAAAGTGCTTCATTTGTAGTCAATCGGGATATTTACCAAGTCATTAATTTATTCATTCGTATCATCCTTTCGATGATGTAAAACTTTAAATGGCATTTGATGAAGTTAAAACAAATTTGTGTGATGCAAAAACGAAACTTTCAATTCATTTGAAGGAAATGGATTTCTGTTTAAACGGAGTGAAAAATATCCTTTGTATTGAAGAGAGTATCGTACCTGTCTTCAATATCCTTTACAATGTTGAAACCGTAAGTGCTATTTAATCAACACATTTTTTAGTACACGCTTAATTAAAATATAATAATGAATTATATTTTAAATGTACCATCCTCGGCTGTCATGGGAATTATATCTCCACTGTATTAGGATACACACCATGGACTCGTTCACTGCGATAGATCACGATGCTTATTATAGATAATTTGAGCAATCAAATTGCTCTAATGAGCGAGCTAATTTCTGTGCCAAGTGTGGGATAGGAGAAAGGAACACAGTGAAGTCACTCCGACATTATTTGTTGGTTGTTGTTTAACGCCGCACTCACTCCGACATGAAGTGCCCAGGGTATGTATCACAACCAAATGGAGATATAATAAAGCCTTGAGAACCGAGGATGGAAATGTGTATGCTATGAAGTATTGACATCACAAACGCGTTTTTGTGAGAAAATACTTATTTAATCCGCCAAAATGTACAGTATATCTGTATATCATTAATCGTCAAATATCCCAAACTTGCATGAGACGTGAAACTGCTGACGATCGATGCTCTAGTCAACTCATGTACTGCCTCTGTGAAGTGTACTGTATAGGTTATTATTTGACGTGAGTTTCTTATAGTGTATAAATGTGATCATTAAATGTACTAGTCTCTTGTATCTGTATATTGATATTAATCAGCCATGATATATGAATATAGGCTGACTATTTTATCAAATCCTAATCGCCTGTTACTTCCCATGACATGTTTCAATATTAAAATAAATGTACCTGTCCTGAAACCGTGTCTTGTGGTCAAGGGGAGGTAACTGCTGCAAGTATCATTATGGTGAAACGGAGTACGAATACACGGGATTCGAAGTTCGAACCGTGACCTCAGAAGAGTGAGTTAAACTTGTATTACAGCCACATAGTGACTGACATAAGTAGGCCTTTTTAGCTGACATTGACAATCACTACTACACACATCAAACAACTGTTTGTATTTTACTTTGATTCTGGCTTTTCTGGGGTCGCGAAATGGCGGGTAGCCTAATAGTTAAAGCGCTCGCTCGTCACGCTGAAGACCCAGGTTCGATTCCCAACATGGGCACAATGTGTGAAGCCCATTGCTCACGTACTCTGGTACTCGGCCATATCAACAATACTTTTGACGTATTCTTGATAGAAACGTTCTACAGTGTCACCTTAACAAATCCGCCCACATTATATCTTACTTTTGAGCAGAGACCATACAATATGGTCTGTTTTGAGGGAAATACAATATTGTTATAACTCGTAGAGGTAACTCTCCAACACCTGTTCAGTTTTGTGGCTGAGTGTCACGTAGCCTGTGATAAAATATGTCTTCCTAACAACAATCCATTAAAACCATGTTTAACACAGAAAACTTAAAATATTTCCCGACATTTTCTTCCAGTAAACCTGAATAAATGTTCTAAAATGTTTAAAAGGATGTTTCCAAATTACATAACAGCCTGTATGATAAAGCGTCAAACGTATTGATACATAGTAACTCATTAAACACGAGTAGTTGGAAGAAAGTATGACATTTCCCCAACGCTCGTGCAACGTATGGAAAGCGCGGCAAGTATGGAAGTGAACATGTGGCTGGAGAAGTCACGATGCAATGTGTCAACCATATTGTTTCACACATGGTGAGAGTATCATCATCTCTTCAGATGTAATGGCTTCGTTTGTGGTTTCTCGGAATGATCAAGAAGTGTGAGTACATTTGTGATTGAACTCTTTGACAATTACTGTAACAGCATTCAGCGTTCGAAATTAACGTCTTTCCTCAGGTCCAAAGCTGACTGAAAACCACTCGGACCCACAGCTTTTGTTTTCTACAAGTCCTTGTGGCTGTGTTTGCTGGGAATTACGTATATTGTAGCTAAAATATAGGGCCTACTTATTCTGATCCAAGACCCACAAATTCTGATCAAGACCAACAAATTGTAATGGTTCTGGGTCCTTATTGCATGCAGCTTTTCGGGGTTAGGGCAAACACTGACAGTATTGTCTAACACTGGTGATAGCCCATATGGGTGCCTCGGGTCGTGATTGCTTAAAGCGGCATACAACCACGCTGTGGCTCACTTTTAAGGAGGAGAAAACATCCTGCACAAATGTCGATGCGTAGCGGATTAATTATTTCTTTAGACAAAACCATTGTTGATAAGCAAATGCTCTTATTTGGTAGGGGCGGTGGGGTAGCCTAGTGGTTAAAGCGTTGGCTCGTCACGCCGAAGACCCGGGTTCGATTCCCCACATGGGCACAATGTGTTAAGCCCATTTCTGGTGTCCCCCGCCGTGATGTTGCTGGAATATTGCTAAAAGCGGCGTAAAACTAAAACTCAGTCAGTCTGTCTTATTTGGTAGAAAAAGAATTTTATTTTTTATCAAAGAAATATTCCAACAAAATCACGACAGCGAACACCAGAACTGGGCTCCAGAGACTGTACACACAACGGGAATCGAACCAGGGTCTTCGCGTGAACGCTTTAACTATAAGCCAAACCCAAGCGCCCCGCGTACCAGAAAAGGGCCCCCAAAGCCTACAGTGAGTGGTATTCCAAAATACCTTCCATCAGCACATCCGACATTTATAATTAAACAAAAACCGCACATCATTTAAGAGATACATATTCACCAATGTACACTCTGCATGCTCAACGATATTAAGACATGAGGTAGAAACACTTCATTTTCACCCGAGTTGCAATGGTCATTGAACAAACTTTCAGGACAACAGGAGGGGTGCGCACACCTGCACTCACTCTGGATCCGCCTATGCAGAGTTGATTCTATAATTGTTAACTAGTATAAAAACGGAATACTTAATGCAGGTAGGCACCAGCCTTGAGAAAATATTGTGATTTTGACAAAGGCAGTCCGTGAAAAGAGGTAAATATTACTATTTCAACAGGAACATTAATTCATTATGGAGACGAGGCGGTGGGCTAGTTGTTGAAGCGTTCGCTCTTTCACGCTGAAGACCGCGGGTTCAGGTTCAGGACACCCCTATAAACAAAGAAAACGGGTCATTCCACCGAATTTTCCTCATAGGGATTGAATTCGCCCATTTTTGGTATAGAAAACGTGCGTTTTGCTCGCTCGCGAGCTATGGCGAGCTATGATATGTGTACGTTTTGCACCACGTGCGTGCCCTTTAACGCCTACTTATCCAAAGAAACCGGGAATTTACCGCATTTTGGTCGACTGGTCCATAACAAATACCTTTCTCACCATTTTGCACATTTAAGCCCCTCTACATTCATTATAAATGCGTTCGTGTACATTTCTATCTCTCGCCTTGGGTAACGATGTTTCCTCTTCATATTACAGAGGTACAGATAAGCTGCGTATCTGCGTAAATTACGCAAATATTTATGTGAAAACTCAATTCCTATTAAGTCTATTGCGTACAAGTACGCTTGATGTTTTGTAAATACTCAATAAATTTGATCTTGCATGCGTACAGACAAAAGTGTCAAATCTTAGCTTGCGTACCGGTGAATAGATAATGTAACAAAGGTGCACTGAGAGGTTCTGTTTCAGCACATGAACTTGGCAAGTTGCAGTCTTTCTTATCGTTTCTCATATTACAGATCAAATATAGATAACAAACACGTAAACGAACATTTAAACTTTATTATATTTTTACAATTAATGGAAAATGGCAAAATACCCAATTGAGTTTAGGTGAGGTGGGTACAATTTATTTGGTTACTCAAAGGAAAATTAAGATACTCAGTTGAGATGAACACAAGCAAGTACATAACTCAATGACTCAAAAGGTTATCTGTAGCTCTGATATTATCCGGAAGCTGCACTTGATGCGCACCTAAACTTCCGCAAAGGGACGTAATTCTTAGAGTTCGGAAACCGCTAAATACCTATGGTGTACTCTCAGGACCACTTTTACACTGGGAAAATCGCATACATGACATAACCCATTTCTGTATTTGGAAAGAAACATTTCATAATGAAAACAATCATTCATTGAAAGTAAATTTAACTGAAAGGACTTTATAATTGTAATTAAAATATAAATTACGGACACGTCTTTGTTTTTTCTATTTACTGTTTCAACATAAAAATGAGTACAAAGTGCAGCTGCAGTGGTCATGGGATTTGTGCGTTTTCAAAAGCTCGTCTAAGAAACATTCAAAGAAATCAAGGACACGCTCTTGAAATTAGGTTATTTAAAAGGGAAATCTACATACATTTGCACAGCCTGCATACACAATATACAGCTAAACGTTAATTAAGCACCACCAAATTCAAAAGTAAATATTATCAATTAGTGTCAAGTAAGGATAATGAAATTTCACAGTATGCTATATGCCTGTATTGCCCGTGCATCACACGTATCGCAGACATAAACTGCGCAATACAGAAGATGCACGTGCTCGATACACATGCACGGGGTCTTTCGACTGAAAACACAGTATTGTTGTTTGATACTTGGTGGCTGAAATTTGAACGTTGAAGCAACAGATCTTATTGTACTGTTCCAATACAACATGCCGAGACGTAGGCTATCCGAGAACCTACGATGGAGAATCATTGGCATGCATGAAACCGGTTTATCATGCCGTCAAATTGGTATCAATTTGAATCTCAATCACACCATTGTTAGCCGACTGGTACGAAAGCACGTGCAAACTGGAGACGTCAAAGACCGACCCAGACCTGGACGTCCAAGAAAAACTAGTGCTCGTGACGACAGGGCCTTAATTCGCTTAGCCAGACGCAATCCAATGACCCATGCTGAAGACCTCCGTAGACAATGGCGAGTGGGCGTCAGACTGTCCACGAATACCGTCCGAAAGAGGTTAAGAGCTGCAGGATTGCGTGCACGTAGACCAGTCAGACGTCCATTTCTCACTGACAGACACATGCAAGAACGCCTGGCGTGGTGCAGGTTAAGGCAAAACCACAATCTCCGATACTGGCGCAGAGTCCACTGGTCGGACGAAAGTCGTTACCTTTTGCACGTCACTGACGGCCGCAGCCGTGTCTGGCGCCGCCGCAATGAAGCTTATAACCCGGAAATGATTGAACCAACGGTCCCCTTTGGCGGTGGCTCAGTGATGGTGTGGGGTTGTGTGTCCTACGACTGCAAGCTGGACCTAATCACAGTACCGGGAACGTTAAACGGACAACGTTATCAACGTGACATCTTGGATGTTGCCGTAATACCCCATTTTGACAATCACACACTTGCCAGTCGTCCCCTGTTCATGGATGATAACGCCAGGCCTCATCGTGCCAGAGCAGTAGTCGATCATTTGAGGAACAATGCTATTGACACTATTCCATGGCCAGCCAAAAGCCCGGATCTTAATCCCATAGAGCATTTATGGGATTATCTTGGGCGCCAAGTGAGAGCCAGAGATCCTCCTGTGCAGAATATGGATGAACTGCAACAGGCTCTTCACGAGGAGTGGCAGAGAATCCCGATGCTTAGAATCAGACGTCTCATTTCAAGCATGAGAAGGCGTCTTGAAAATGTGATTCGTGTTAGAGGTGGATACTCCCGATATGGACTAAACAGTTTCTAGAGATAGCCATGATGACAACAAGCATATTTATGTTGAACGTTTGACATTGCAGATACCAGTATGGACTGGACAGTGATACTTTTCAGGCCTAATGAAATGGTCGTTTTGACGCTTATTCGCGCATAACTCCAATAAATTGGTATCAAAGATAATCATCGGCTTTGTTTTTTGTGTAGTGATAGTGCAGGACATCCCTTCAGCAAAATCAATCC